GGGCATGGATGTTAGCCCAGGGCCAGTCTTCCTCAGCAAAAAAAAAAGAGGAGGATTGGCAGATGTTAGCACAGGGCTGATCTTCCTCGCAAAAAAAATGAATAAAAAAATAAAAAATGAGTTAATTGAAATAAAACAATAACTAATAGCTGCCATTTATTGACCGCTTATCACTGTACTAAGAGTTTAAAGTATATTATCTCATTTAACCATCACAGCAACCTTATGAACTAATTTGTTCTATTTAGGGATCTTGAAGCTGAGGCTTACGGAAGTTAAGTAATTGCCCAAGGCCGTATAGCTAGTAAATGACAAAACTGTGCTTAGAATCCAGATCTGTTTCCTAGGCCAGTGCTCTTAACCACTATAAAAATGATGTTCTGCCTTAGTAGTTGCAAGGTCACTTTTGAGACTTACAATATTAGGAATTATCTTTAACTGCTGACATCTTCAACTTAGTAGTGAAAAACATTTGCTATACTAAGAATCTTGCTGCTAAGGTAGACAGTCTGTTAAAGAATTTGCAGAATATTTCTCTTCCATTTTTGTCTCTTTTACCTTTTTTTTCCTTAAAAGACACTTGCTAATATTCATTTCTTCTAAAGTATATTTGTTAGTATTGCTTTAGCCATCATGTTTACATAGCATTTATAGTGTTGCCCAGTTCATCATCGTTTAAAAATCTTTAAGGATCCTTCGGAATAAAACCCCAAATTTTGTTAAATATAAGCATTTTTGGCACCTAATGCGTTAAGTTCTTAATTTGGGGTTCATGGTCACCTAGAGTTCTGTGAATTGGCCTCAGAAGGTCCATGAACTCATTGAAATCATATGAAAATGTTGGGTAGATAAATATATTTTTTAAATCAGATTTTCAAAGTAATGTGATCTCATAAAAGGTAAAGAATCTCCTTCCTAAAGAGAAGTATTGTTTCTAAGGCCTGGTACTGTAAAATTCGACTAGTGTGAACATTTCCTTGTGGTGCCAAATATGTAAATAGCAATGACTAGTGGGAGCAACGAAAAGATTAAGATTTAGGGTTCTAAGTGAAGACTCACTCAAAAAAATTTAAGTGTATGTTTGGAGGAGGAGGCACCTTGACATGTGATTCTCTTGTCACTGCTGAGGATCCGTTCATAAGACCTTTTTCCCTTTTCTCATATGCTGCCTCAGATTTGCTGTGGGTTTAGAAACCAATTAACAAATCCTATGAGAACTGTGTCAGAGTAAAAAGGCCACAGGGAGATCCTCGGGGCTCTCCTGTGGAGAAAGTTCATGACTTTTAGAGTATGGCCTTTGGACACCTATTTTGGTGATTTCACAGGCTCTTTCTAATTTCTTGATTTTTTAACTGTGTTATATATAGGTGAAATTAGAGAATAGCTGGGGTATTACCGTATTTTGTTGGGAATTATATCATCATTATTAGGTTGAAGTGTCCCCTTGCCATTGTATAAAACTCACCAGATATGGTGATATTTTGGATGTATCGATGAAGAACATTAAGAAGTGATTGAATTCACTACCAAAACAAAGAATAGTTACTGTCATAAGTGTTAATCCTACTGAAAAAAATATGTGAGCAACCCAGAGCATCATCTGATCAAACTTCAAGAGTCTTCGATCAGACTTATGAAATGATCTTGAAAAGTTCCATATCCCTTAAGGGTGTTTTTTATTAAAAAACATGCTTTTTAATAAAACAAAAATCTGAACTTCTGAAAAATATGGTAGCCTATATTATTTTTAGAGAGCCAGCATTCAGTCCCTGAGAAGTGGAAAGCAAGGGGCCAAGCCTTTTCTAGTGTTATTGTTATATGCCAAACAAATAGCTTATCAAGAAATAGGTTGGGGCCTGCCAGTGGTGTAGTGGTCGAGTTCAGCTCGCTCTGCTTCAGCGGCCCAGGGTTTGCGAGGTCGGATCCTGGGCGCAGACCTATGCACCACTCATCAAGCCATGCTGTGGCAGCATCCCACATACTAAATAGAAGAAGATGGGCACAGATGTTAGCTCAGGGCTAATCTTGCTCAGCAAAAAGAAGATTGGCAGTGGATGTTAGCTCAGTGCCGATCTTCCAAACAAAAAAGAAAAGAAAAGAAAGTGTGTCCTAGAAAGTTCAGGGAAGGATCAGGAATTATTAGATAACATGCTGACAAAGGCCACCGTTAAAACAGTGTTCCCAGCCGGCCCCACGGCTTAGCGGTTAAGTGCGCATGCTCCGCTACTGGTGGCCCGGGGTTTGCATCCCAGGTGCGCACCTATACACCGCTTGTTCGGCCATGCTGAGGCAGCGTCCCACATACAGCAACTAAGAAGGATGTGCAACTGTGGCATACAACTATCTACTGGGGCTTTGGGGAGAAAAAGGGAAAAAAAAGGAGGAGGATTGGCAATAGATGTTAGCTCAGGGCTGATCTTCCTCACAAAAGAAAAGAGAGAGAGAGAGAAAAAACAGTGTTCCCATTATGAAAACCCCTGATGAAAAGTCTTGGAACTTAGGTGCTTGAGAATGGCTCGATTTGTTAATGAGGTTGCCTTGAGCTTTTTAGCCTTGACCTAAACTACCTGCGTTTATTTACTTGGTTTCATATGTGAGTTTGACTTCCTAGTTTCACATCAGTGCTTTAGAAAGCTTAAGCTCAGCGACAAAGGAACATACCGAGATGATGATCCAAAATGTACC